TATAATATGAAAAAAGGTGAAGAATCCCAGCCCCACATGCCGGAAAAGTTTAGAATTTCTTCCTTCAACTTTTGCATTAGCTTGGGGAGGATCGTTATGGAGAATTATCTCAGAACAACATTTCTTTTATCTGAAACTTGGTTTTACCGATCATTATATTTCACATTATTTTGTTCCTAAACAATATATTCTTAATAAAATACCAAGACCCAACAAGTAGTCCAACTGGTTCTTTGACTAGAATATTGTATCTAATTAATGGAGCATCCTAATTTAACGATAGCGATCAATGCTAGTAGAGCTTACAGACACTTGAATACTCGGATCGAGTCAAAATCTCTAAAGCATTGAAGGTATAGTCACAAGTAGTCATACCTGGGGTCGATGCTAGGAGAGCTTATAGACACTTGAATACTTGGACCGAGTCAAAATCTCTAAAGCATTGAAGGTATAGTCACAAGTAGTCATAATTAGGGTCGATGCTAGTAGAGCTTACAGACACTTGAATACTCGGACCAAGTCAAAATCTCTAAAGCATTGAAGGTATAGTCACAAGTAGTCATAATTAGGGTCGATGCTAGTAGAGCTTACAGACACTTGAATACTCGGACCAAGTCAAAATCTCTAAAGCATTGAAGGTATAGTCACAAGTAGTCATAATTAGGGTCGATGCTAGTAGAGCTTACAGACACTTGAATACTCGGACCAAGTCAAAATCTCTAAAGCATTGAAGGTATAGTTAGTAGAGCTTACAGACACTTGAATACTCGGACCAAGTCAAAATCTCTAAAGCATTGAAGGTATAGTCACAAGTAGTCATAAACACTTGAATACTCGGACCAAGTCAAAATCTCTAAAGCATTGAAGGTATAGTCACAAGTAGTCATAACTGGGGTCGACGCTAGTAGAGCTTACAGGCACTTGAATACTAAGATCGAGTCAAAATCTCTAAAGCATTGACGGTATAGTCACAAGTAATCGTACCTGGGGTCGACTATGCTTTGATACTTGCAGGCAGATTTTCCAGCTACTTTAGTTCTCAGAGAGTCTGATAAGGAAGGATTAGCCGCAAAAGTTAGTAATATGATAAAACAATTTAGGAAAGAAGAATTCAGCTGAGTTTTGGATGCATATTAAAGAAAGCGTTCAGAGCCGAACTGGGAAAATATGAACACAAGAAAATAGGAGGCAGCTTCATTAACAATAACAAACGTATTACATACTACATCGCTAAACAATTGCTACATAATTCTTGACGCATAGCATCACATAAACTATTCACTAATAGACTTGTGCCAACTTATTATCGTTTTCCTTCTCCAACAGAATAGTGAATAATTTGGTTAGATTTAGTATTTGTTGTTCAAAGCACGGCTTTGCACCAGCATTTTGGTCAGATCACCGCTAAGGTGGAGCGACATGATTTCATTCGTGGATCCAATAAGCTTTCCACCGATGAACACAGCTGGTACTGGTGCACTGCAGCCAAGCCTCATGAGAGCTTTCTCTATTTCCCTGCAATCAGGGTCTTGATCAATCTCATACACGAAAGGATTGAATCCAAGTTCCCCCAATAGAATTTTAACTGCATAGGATAGGCAGCATGAGCTCTTGCTGAATATGACCACACTCCTCTCTGCAACCAACCTCTTAACCTTATCCATGGCTTCTTAGTACGATAGAGTTTTCCTAGCAAATGAAATGAAGCCAAGAAACAAACGTACACTTGATATATCTAAGGTTTCTTTCAAGTTCGTTTAAAACCTTATAACCTTTTTGGACCAAATTTATACAAATTTGGTCTAAATATGGTTATACAGGCTTTAAATATTAAGAAGGGAAATTGTGCAAGAGGAAACTAATATCGAAGCTTCTTGTTATATGAGTTTGAGCTCTCATGCAAGACTATTTATAGGGACAACATAAGGAATGCTGCCTTTTTCTAAAAAGGAACGTTCACTTTACTTAGATGCTCAAACTAATAAAAGAAACTTTAAAAACTACCGTTTCCAACAGGCTGGACAAGTTGAAAGGTCTTTTAATTCAGTGGGCATGACTATTTTATTATGCTGAAATACGAATAATTAACCATTTGATATGTAAAATCATAATTTAATCGCACTTTATTAGTAACATAATCAAAATGTGATATTAATCCTATCAATCATTGTCTGACGTGTAAAAACAATAACCGTGTCTTCTACTTTGCAGAGTTTGTGGAAATGAGAATATAGATATCAAGAAACAATGAAAACAAAGTAACAAGTTCTGTAATGTCAGTCAATAAATACCAGATTCTTCCAATCACCTTCTTTGAATCCTTGAGCAGAAAGACTTCAATGGTTGTAGTTCTTCGCATTCTGTCCACCAACTTGTATGATTCCTTCTTGCATATGAGCTTGCCAAGCTTCATTAACCTAACAGAGTTGTGCTCCAAAGCCTAGTGAGCACACAGATATATGTAATTTTGGAAGTTGAACTTCCCCCTATATTCAATCGACAGAGCTCTTCTTTGAAAAATTATAGCTTCATGAAGCCTTTGCCAATGTAACTTTTAGTATATAATTAAGCACGATGACTATCAACAGAGTATATCCTGTTCTTGGGAGCGAATACTGACACCCTCTGTCGATACTTTAGATAAACCTCACATGCTTGCCATTTTATGACATTGGACAATAAAGCATAACTATATTTTTTTTTTTTTTTTTTTTTTTTTTT